AAACACTACACTAATTTAGATCTACTAAATTAGAAAGTGAAAAGCCTCTTGTAGAGCCTATTGATTGTTATTCACTGCTAATACAAATGAAACTCATTTTGGCGGAATCTGAAGCACCACACCTTAAGTTTAGGCTTGACTTGGTGTTCATCACAGGAAATTACACTTCATTTTATGCTTATGTTTTATAAACAGCATACAACAGTAGATGGTTTTACCCTAACATTTTCTTGAAATCTGGCCTGGAATCACCGTTTCCTGCAGACTTTTACTCTCAGACCATGTTAAGTTTACACTCGTTACTGCTGATTTCCACCACTGCTCTTAGTGCACTTGTGTGTCTTTACAGTCTTTGAATGCCTGAAATTCTGTCCACAGTCTGAGCAGTGGTACAACTTCACTGCTGTGTGGATTCGCTAGTGATTTTTGAGATTACTCTGTACAGTAAAACTCTTCCCACACTCTGAGCAGTGATATAGCTTCTTTCTTGTGTGGATGTGGTGGTGTATTTTGAGATGACTCAGAACAGTAAAACCTCTGTCCACACTCTGAGCAGTAGTGATTTCTCTCCTTGCTGCATTTCTGTGTTTGTCTGTGAGATGTGTTCATGTGGAGGGTACCAGATGATGTATGCTTAGTCCCAGAACATGTTCTGGATGCCATTCTCTTGAACCTTTAACTCACAAAGTATAAAGACATGATTTTTTAATGTTTTGGCTGTAGGTGGCATTACTGCCTTCTGTAAAATGATGTCAAATGGGGCAATTTGACAGTTTCCAGAAATTATGCCGCTCATTTGAACTTAGTAAACAGGATTTTATTTTGATATTTACGGATTCGTCACTTCTATATGAAAGGGGTTAAAGGCCCCAACCCTGTTCCTTTCTCACGACTCATTCAGGTTTTCATGGATGCATATGAGGGTGAAGGAAATAAAGGGTTTACTGGCAAACTGCACAAATCCGTCTATGTAATGAATAAAAATTCTACTAATTATGTCAGACTTCGCTGAGAACAAGACACACTGGTAAAGATCCCAGAAGAAGTATGGTCACGAGTATGGGAAAACCATTGTATTTTCACTAATTCACTGATTTGGAGGGATTTTTGCTGGAAGATTCTGATGAGATTTTTTATAACGCCCTGCAGTCTTCCTGGCAGGTATATATTAGCGTCTCCCAGCTTTGGTCCTGCCGTCTCTCTGGCAGGTAAATATTAGTGTCTCCCAGCTATGTTCCTGCAGTGCCCCTGGCAGGTATATATTGGCGTCTCCCAGCTTTGATCCTGCAGTCCTTCTGGCAGGGATGTTTTAGCGTCTCCCAACTGAAATCATGCCGTTGCCCTGGCAGGTATATATTGGTGTCTCAACGCTTTGATCCTACAGTCCCCCTGACAGGTATATTTTATTGTCTCCCAGCTTTGATCCTGCAGTCCCCCTGGCAGGTATATTTTAGTGTTTCCCAGTTTTGATCCTGCAGTCCACCTGGAAGGTATATATTATCGTCTCCCAGCCTTGATCCTGCAGCCCCCCTGACAGGTATATTTTTCATAGTTCCCAGCTTTGATCCTGCAGTCCTCCTGTAAGGTATATTTTTAGTAGCTCCCAGCTTTGATCCTGCAGTCCTCCTGTAAGGTATATTTTAGCGTCTCCCAGCTTTGATCCTGCAGTCCCTCTGGCAGATATATTTTACTGTTTCAGAGCTTTGATTTTGCAGTGCCCTTGGCAGGTACATTTTTTTAGTAGCTTCCAGCTTTGATCCTGCAGTTCCCCTATCAAGTATATTTTTAGTGTCTCATGGCTTTGATCCTGCAGTCCCCCTGGCAGGCATATTTTAGTGTCACTATTACTAATATAACCAAATAATAACAACTAAACATGTATACAAATGTGTAAATAATAATTATTGTGTGTGTGCTAAAGACTACACACAAATAAATTTAATGAATGTGAAACATTGATCTAATAACAATAAAATTATGATCAATAATGAATATATTCTGTTCAGAATGAAACTGCATGTTAGTTACTCTGAAATGTTTGAACAAACATCAGCTAACAGCATGTTTAATCTATAAAGTGTTATCAGCCTTATCAGTCTGAGTTTTCTATCACAGGTTTCTCTTTAGATCTTTATTATTAAAGAATAAATACATCTTCTCAATCTTTATTAATAAAGATTAAACACATCACATGAAATGTGCTACATAAACTTGCCTTGCCTAAATCATATGTTAATTAATTTTAAATTGTGACATTACTGTCGTAATTGTGTATGTACTCATTAAGATGGTGACACTGGCTGAGGGTGTGTATAAGTGTTACTGTAGTCCAATGGTTATGAATTTTTTAATTTTGGTATGTGACCTCCTTTTGCAAGACTTTTTCAAACATATCTCTAAGAGCAAATCAATTATTATTTTTTTTTAATTTTAACTGATGTCTTAAGTTATATCTATTATTTATAAGCAAACCGTAACTGAAATCAAAATGGTGAGATATAATGCAAAGTGTAATGAGTGTAATTAGTGCTGATATTCTAACAAACCATGATTGAAACAAATCCATGTCTCCAGCTTACCCTCATTATAGTTTAAGATTAACTGTGGAAACAGAGGTAAAAGAATGTTACTAAAAGCTTAGTTATTGTGATTTTGATTAAATAAATATCAACACTCATAAACTCAGTAAAGACTCCTCTGGGAGATCACATGACTTCCACACTTCCCTCGAACTCAGAGACTTACACGGACTCCATTCTGGGAGATCACCTGACTCCTGGCAGCTCCTCACGCTCCAATCAGAGATCTAGATCTCCTGAATACTAATATTCAGTTAGTTTATAAGTCCAGGCTTTAGTCTTAGAAGGTTGTGAGGTATTGTATCCACTTGTGAACTACTGAGCATTATATTGATTATCTGTATTCTGTTTATGAGCATTGCTTTTGTTGTTTTGACTCTGCCTTTTGCTCTGCCCTTTGCATTGTTTGCTGGATTCTTCTGGTTCATGTTTTTGACCTTTTTTGCCTGTTTTTTGACTACGTCTTTTGCCTGCCCCTTTTTGCATTGTTCACATTGTGTTATGTTTGTATTTGGTATCTGCTGTGTCTTTTGGATTTGACCCCCGCATGTTTTTTGACTAAGACCCTGGACTTTGATTCTGAAAGTAAAGCCTCTTTTGTGTTTTCAAACCACAAGCGTCTGACTCTTGTTGGCACGTTACAAAGGGACATTAACCCCAGATGTTAGAGGGCATAGTTATTGAAGAAATCACTTTACACTGTGTTAGTAGCTTTCTGCTGCATTAGTTCGGTTGCTACACTTTGAGTTACCCACACTTACAATCATCAAACTCAATAACATTAATATTATTTTATTAAAATCAACTACCATGAGTTTCCAGTAATTATCGTTAGATTAGCTAAGCTTAACTTACATAGCTAGCTACACAGTAAGCATAGTTAGCTAGCTAACGTTAGCTCCTCAGGTGTCATGACTCAAGTTTTAAACAATTTTCAAATGATAAAATCAATATACTTGTGAAAAACATTATAGTTTAGAAAAAACGTTTTCAGTTTGGCCCGGAGCTGCTTTGAACCCTGACTGTCTGCTGTGTTGGTTCAGTTACTGTGGCCATGCGCACCATCACATGGGGAGGGGGTGGGGGCAGAGAGTGGACAGTCAAACTGCCCCACTTCCTCTCTCTACTGCACATGCTCTGGTTCCAAATTTAACTACATGGCGGAGGAAGTCTGGCTTCATTTCTATAGAACAAGGGGATGCAGCCACATTGTCCATGTGTTTTACAGTCTTTGGGATTTAGTGAACTCTGGGGTATAAGTTGAAATATGACAGTATTGAGTTTCATCAGTATTGTCCAGAAGTAGGATTAATATGCTCATATGCTCGAACATCATATACTTTTGTTTAACTATTTCTCCCCATCATGTTTCCCATCATGCTTCAAACTAGCTACTCTCAGATGAGTGAGGAAGTGCTCGGCTGGGCCATTTGAGAAACCCTCACCGTTTTCTTCTGAACCCAATTTGATGTCCAAAGGAGGTAAAATGGCTTTAAAGGCTACAGAGTCAAACACAGGGTACATTAAGTTTTAATTTTCCCATAATTCTGTAATGGGAAATAGTAAATTCTAAACTATATAGAAAGTTCAGGATTTCAAATGTTCCTCGAGTTCCTCCAGTTTCAGGTGTTCTTTATTACTGTATTCTTTCTGAAGAAGAAAATACTAAGAAAATACTTTAATTATATTACAAAATAATTATTTTAATAATTAAATTGCAGAATGTTGGAGAGAAATTTAACAAAAAGACGTCAAACGTTTGAATCCAGTGAGCTCCACTGTTTTGAGTGTAATGTCAGTTTTCAGTGTGATCTTGCGTTAAAATGAATTCTGAACATCAGCAGAACCTCAGCAGTGGAGATGCACCATGATATTGGAATCATATCAGGAACAGCAGAAAATTACTTAATAAAAACATAATCATCAGGCAGATATTTAGATTTTACTAAACTGTAATCTGATATTTGAGGATTTTTTATTGAACTCGGACACAGAAGAAGGTTTAGGTGACACAGGGCTGCTACACTCACATACCTGAATTTTATTAATTTTACTGCATTTGGAAAACAGAAATATATTTAGGGTAAATAAAGTACTGTGCAAAGGTTTCAGGCCCCTAAATACAGTGTTTAAAACCATTTCATCTCAGCAGTGCGATTTTACATCTACGTCACATTAGAATGATGTAAATAAATGAAATATAGTGAAAAGTAAAAAGATTGGTGTGTGTGTGTGGTAAATCTGAAATCTCATATATAAACACATGGCCATGTTTTTCTGTTCTATTTAGTGAATCTTTTTCTAAACTCACATTATTTTTATTCTCTTTTATTTATTTTGAATAATTTAACCACAGAAAGGTTTGATAAACAACAAACACATTTTTACAAACCTTTCACAAACTCTCTCTCCCTCTCTGTGTGTAGAGCTTATTCTATCTCACACAGACTTACTGAGGAGTTAGGATAGTAAACTCCTAATCCAGCATAGAGCAGCTCAGTGAATGTGGTGGTGAATGTGTGTAGGTGGGTCAGTGTGTTAGGGGAAATGGTGTAGAAGGACAGAGTGCCGGACCCCCAGTCCAGATACACTCCTACTCTGTTAGAGGGGGAGGGGGGGGCAGGTAGGACAGTTCTCTGTTTATTGTGCCAGACAGAGTATCTGTTATTAGTGCAGTTCAGACTCCAGGACTGATTACTGTATCCAAACCCACATTCAGTCCTGACTCCTTTTCTCCTGATTCCTCTGTATGATACTGATACAGCAGCATCTCCGCTCCATTGAACTTCCCAGTAACAGCGTCCAGTCAGACTCTCCACACTCAGAACCTGCCAGTAATCAAATCTGTCTGGATGATCTGGATAACGGTGATCTTCTTTCACACACTCCACCTTTCTGTTCCTCTCAGACAGACAGAGATATCTGTTCACTGTGTTTGGATCCAGAGTGAGATTAACAGCATCTGTACACACACACATATAAAAGAGGAGACACAAACAGAATTTTAATGCTTAATTTTAGTGACTGTGTGTGTGTGTGTATATAGTGTGTGTGTGTGTATGGTGTGATTGTATAATGTGTGTATGTGTGTTTATAGTTTTTGTGTTTTGGTGTGTGTGTGTGTGTGTGTGTTACATTTCTTCAGTCCTGCTTTCATCCAGATCTTCCCTCCATGATCCACCCTGAAGAACAAACACCCACATTTATACATTCATTAAACTTCATATCATATCAAAACTAAACTAAAATAAAGAATAAACAGATCATTACAGTATAAAACACCCTTCAGAACTTACAGTTCAGATAAAACTAAACTAAAATAAAGACTAAAACAGATCGTTATGGTATAAAACACCCTTTAGACCTTACGGTCCAGATAAAGCTAAACTAAAACAAAAACTAAAACAGACTGTTACAGTATAAAACACCCTTCAGACTTTATAGTCCAGATAAAACTAAACTAAAATAAAGACTAAAACAGATCATTATGGTATAAAACACCTTTCAGACCTTACAGAACTGTTTTCACAAGTGTTCCTGAGCCCATGCAGTGATCTCCACCACAGAATCGTGTCTGTTTTTAATTCAGTGCCGTCTGCTAAGATGTGCCAAGATCACGGCCAGCAAATATTGTTTTTTGGCCTTGTCCATTGCACACAGAGATTTCTCTGGATTCCCTGAATCTTTTGTTGATAGTATGTACTGTATATGATAAAATCTCCAATATCTTTGCTATTTTAGATTGAGAAATGTTATTTTTGAATTGTTGCACTTTGAATTGTTGCATTTGTCTGTGTAATCTTGCACAGAGTGGTGAGCCCTCTCCATCTTTTCTTCTGAAAGACTCTCTGGGATGCTCTTTTTATCCCCAGTCATGTGACTGACCTTTTGCCAGTTCATCCTATTAGTTGTGAGATGTTCCAGCAGGTGTTTTTTTTTTCTTTTTCAGCATTAAACAACTTTATCATTCTTTGTTGTCCCTACTTTTTTGAAACATACTGCTGGCATCAAACTCAAATGGACATATAATTTATATATATAAATTATATATATATATATATATATATATATATATATATATATATATATATATGATATGTTGTCTTTGTACTATTTTCAATTAAATATAGCAGTTAAATAATTTGCACACCATTGCATTACATTTTGCACAGCATCGCAACAGCATCGCATGCCTATTAGCCTCGCTAGCTACTTTATGTAACAGGTGTCACCAATAGCTTAAGGTTAACACAAATAAAATATAGTTTTGGAGGCAAACGGCCGTATAAGGCTGTGATAAAATACAGCTTCCCCATAAACTCTGGACAATAATTCTGTCATGCTCAGATTTATTTTTCATTTTGTGTTTTATTAGACATACTGTCCTAAACGGTAATCTGATCAAACTACGGGTGGTGGAGTATTAAGGAGTATTAAGTTGATTTGTTGTGCTGTATACAGCCAGAACAGATATCTCCTCAGCTAGTGCAGTCAGTGATGTAGTAGTGTGTATAGTATGGTAGTAAGCAGACTGTATACAGAACAGATATCACCTCAGCTAGTGCATTCAGTGATGTCATAGTGTGTATAGTATGGTAGAAAGCAGACTGTATACAGCCAGAACAGATATCACCTCAGCTAGTGCAGCCAGTGATGTAGCAGTGTGTATAGTATGGTAGTAAGCAGACTGTATACAGAACAGGTATCTCCTCAGCTAGTGCAGCCAGTGATGTAGCAGTGTGTATAGTATGGTAGTAAGCAGACTGTATACAGAACAGGTATCTCCTCAGCTAGTGCAGCCAGTGATGTAGTAGTGTGTATAGTATGGTAGTAAGCAGACTGTATACAGAACAGATATCTCCTCAGCTAGTGCATTCAGTGATGTAGTAGTGTGTATAGTATGGTAGTAAGCAGACTGTATACAGCCAGAACAGATATCTCCTCAGCTAGTGCATTCAGTGATGTAGTAGTGTGTATAGTATGGTAGTAAGCAGACTGTATACAGCCAGAACAGATATCACCTCAGCTAGTACAGTGAGTGATGTAGTAGTGTGTATAGTAACAAGCAGACTGTATACAGAACAGATATCACTTCAGCTAGTGCATTCAGTGATGTAGTAGTTGTGTATAGTATGGTAGTAAGCAGACTGTATACAGCCAGAACAGATATCACCTCAGCTAGTGCATTCAGTGATGTAGTAGTGTGTATAGTATGGTAGTAAGCAGACTGTATACAGCCAGAACAGATATCACCTCAGCTAGTGCATTCAGTGATGTAGTAGTGTGTATAGTATAGTAATAAGCAGACTGTATACAGCCAGAACAGATATCACCTCAGCTAGTACAGTGAGTGATGTAGTAGTGTGTATAGTAATAAGCAGACTGTATACAGAACAGATATCACCTCAGCTAGTGCATTCAGTGATGTAGTAGTGTGTATAGTATGGTAGTAAGCAGACTGTATACAGAACAGATATCTCCTCAGCTAGTGCAGTCAGTGATGTAGTAGTGTGTATAGTATGGTAGAAAGCAGACTGTATACAGCCAGAACAGATATCACCTCAGCTAGTGCAGCCAGTGATGTAGTAGTGTGTATAGTATGGTAGAAAGCAGACTGTATACAGCCAGAACAGATATCTCCTCAGCTAGTGCAGCCAGTGATGTAGAAGTGTGTATAGTATGGTAGAAAGCAGACTGTATACAGCCAGAACAGATATCTCCTCAGCTAGTGCAGCCAGTGATGTAGAAGTGTGTATAGTATGGTAGTAAGCAGACTGTATACCGAAAAGATATCACCTCAGCTAGTGCAGCCAGTAATGTAGAAGTGTGTATAGTATGGTAGTAAGCAGACTGTATACAGAACAGATATCTTCTCAGCTAGTGCACTCAGTGATGTAGTAGTGTGTATAATATGGTAGCAAACTGTATCTCATGAAACCTATCCAAAAATACAGAGTTCCAACCCTCTGCCATGTTCAGAAGAACAACTCAAAGATCAACACATCTACAGTAAAACTGTCAGTATGTATAATATGTATTATTACAGTCAGTCTGTGTATAGCTCACTGTAGTTTCTCCAGTGCACAGTGTGGATCCTCTAGTAGATCAGAGAGCAGCTTCACTCCAGACACTCCTGGGTGATTATAGGTCAGATCTAGTTCTCTCAGGTGGGAGGGGTCTGATTTAAGAGCTGAAGCCAGAGAAGAACAGCCTTCATTTGTTACCATACAACCAGACAATCTGCAGAAATGAAGGAAAAAGAGGGACAGATGGCATTTACACACAGCAAAAACCACCTGCAGTACAGAACAAACACAGCAAGCACCAAATTCTGTTAAATATACTCAAACACTATGATATCAAACAGGACAAAAAGAAAACACATGAAACTGAATCAACATTTTCACACTACTAATTACAACATGATAAAAATCTCATTCTGCTTCAAAGCTCCAAGAGTTATGATTAGAAAAATTTTTTTTGAAAAGAACTAAGACTCCAAAACAGAAAGCGTTTTCCTCCTGGAAGCATTACGGAATGAAGATATAGATAAATAGGCATGGAGGAAGTTACAAAAACACCATTACTCGAAAGAGAATTTAATCGAAAAGAAATATTATCTGTGACCTCATCACAAAAATCAATGTCTGAGATATCTAAAACAACATAAACCAGAGGCATTTTGGAATCAAGTGCTGTTGGCTGATGAATTATGAAAAATAGAACTCTATGGCCACCAGGATTGGGATAGTTACTCAAAAAAGTAGTATATTACAAGGCGCTAATTACTTCTCCCAAATTAAATGAGATTACATTACTTATTACTACCTGGAAAAAGTAATCTCACTACACTTCTATGTTACTCTGTATTCTTTCTGCTCCTCCCTCTAGTAGTTCCGCAGTTTGAATCCGTCTTAGGGTGACCCGGAGTTTCTGTTTTTTGGAGAATCTTTTAAGCATGTTAATTTCTCTTCTCTAACTTTCCTGCTAATTTGGCTCTCCCTGGATTTAGTGCAATGAAAACATATTTTCTCTATTTTTGCATATCTGTTACACTAAATGGTTTCAAATACTCAATCTTGTTTCTTTTGAGCCATCCAAAGATGAACTTGCTCTTGTGCTTGGAATTGTTGTCTTGCTGCACAACTCAATTATGCTTGAGTTTCACATCATGACTGATGACTCTGCATTCTCCTGCAGGATTTTATGGTAAAGAGCAGAATTTATCAATCTGTCAATTATGGCAAGTCATCCAGGCCCCAGTGCAGCAATGCATCATCACACTACCACCTCCATGTTTCACTATTGGTATGACATTCTTATTGTAGAATGCTGGCTTAGCTTTTACCAGATGTAATAGGACTCCTGTCTTCCAAAATGTTCCACTTTTGACTCAATAATCCACAGAACACTATTCTGAAAGGCTTGGGGTTCATCAATGTGTTTTTGGCAAAAGTGATGCAAGCCTCTATGTTCCTCTTGGCTATCCATAGTTTTTCCAATTGATGTCAGTTTTTCCCCACCCCTTTCCAATAGTGGCACCATGTACACTAACCTTATCTGCAGTTTCTTAGATGTTTGTCAGGGCTCTCAGTGACTTACTGATTGAGTTGTCCCTGTGATCTTAGGTGGAATTTTGGTAGGCAGGCCACTGTTGGAACCACTGTTCCATTCCAGACTTATTTCAATAGCTTTCTCATCTCTTCTGGAAATTATTTTGATCACAGTGTAGTGTGCTGCTTGTTGACCTTTTAGCCTACTTCACATTGCCAGAAGGATTCTGTTTAAGAATATGTATAATCCATAATATCAACTAAATATAGTTTATTGATCGATTGAGTAACCAAAGGAACAATTTCATATTCACACAGAGCCAGTTGGTGTTGGGTAACTTGTTTTTCCTCAATAAATGAAATGATCACTTAAAAACATGTTCATGTTTTAATATGCTTTCCTTCTTTTACATTCCATTTTATATGAGGATCTGAAACCATTCATTGGGACAAATTTGCAAAAATAGAAAAAATCAGAAAACACTTCCCCAGAACTGTATGTAAGTAAATGCTCTGTTTTGGCATTGGACTAATTCCTGAACACACTGCTGCAGGAAAAGCGGAGGTGACACAAATACGGCTCACTAAACCAAAGTCTCCAAGCCGCTGTTGGGAAAAGCAAAAACTCATTCTCAGAGACAGGGTTTGAAAGCAAGTAACAGTGCTACACAGCAGAAAAAGCTGAGGGGGTGGCACGCATAGTGTGGATATTGTGTTGGCGATGTGGAAAAAAGCAACATTGCACTCGCCACTGCCACGAGCCAGAGCCAGCAGAAAATGAGAAGTAAGCCCAGTAACCTTCAGCATCACTGCCACTGCCAGAGAGTGCGACCCCAGGCTTTAGATAAAGTGCAGCATTAATGGTGAACAGCTCACCGTGCTCATCGACACAGGCTCAACAATCTCTCTGCATACTTCCCAATGCCAGAATGCTGGGAAGCTACTACCATCCAGTTCGGCTCCGTTGCCAGTGGCTGAGTCAACATAAGAGATAGAAAGCTATTCCCTATTGTGCTGGGAGGTCTGAGCCATGTGCACCAATTCTGACTCGCACCAATACAGGAGGCCTGTATTCTCAGATTGGACTTCTGGTCACAACAGCAGTCATGATTGACATCAATTGAGTCTGGAGCACAGATCATTGAGGGTTTTAGGTGGTGCACACAAGCAGCTCAAGCACCAAGATCAACAATGTAGTGAACCCCCAAGTGCAAGTTGCAGTGAGTTATTGTAGCAATTGTGGGAGCTTTTATGCTGTTATAGTGACATTTCCATGCTACTGAGGAGTGTACACAGACAGATTTGTTGCACTGCAGCATTAACACATGACTACTACCTGTGTTTAATTTATTAACATTGCAAGGGTTAGGTTTTGGAGTGAGATTAAGCTTAGTCGACAACTTAAAAATGAAAATGGAGATGCAAGGTTTTGTTCTGACAGGGTTCATATGCTAAATATTAATTAGCTTATAAGCAGAAACTAGAAAACAGATAAAAACACTATATTCTAACAACTTAGCTTTCTTTTTGCTGGTGTTTAATTTAGTTTCTTATAATAGACTGAAAGAAAGATTTCGGAATTGAATGTGAGAGAACATATGCCATGTTTAAACAACTCACTGCACATTCGTTACAAGAATGGGAATACATACAATAGAATTCTAAAAATAACAATAATTTCTTGATTTGACAACTTATTGATTCTTTCCTTAACTTTTTTTTTATTCAGAAATTAATTCACAGAGAGCTTACCTGAGTGTCTTCAGCTTACAATACGAACTTTTCAGTCCAGCAGAGAGCAGCTTCACTCCTAAATCCTGCAAGTCATTGTTGCTGAGGTCCAACTCTTTCAGGGAGGAATTTGCTGATTGTAGAGCTGATCCCAGATTTTCACAAGCATTCTCACCAAGACTACAGATGTATAGTCTGCAAAGAGGAAATCCCAAATAAAAAAGTAACAAATAAAGTAAAATACATAAAATCATAGGTCTTAATAATTCTGTTATGTTACTTTACGTTAACAATTTATTGTGATTTATCAGCTTATTTCTATTAAGGAATTACTTCACAGAAAGTTCACCTGAGTATCTCCAATTTACAATGTGCGTCCTTCAGTCCAGCACAGAGCAGCTCCACGCCTGAATTTTTCAGGTCATTGTTATTGAGGTCTAGCACTTTCAGAGAAGTGTTTCCTGATTGTAGAGCTGATGATAGTTTTTCACAGGAGTTTGTGGTGAGACTACAACCAGCTAGTCTGTAAAAGTCAGAGTATATACAGTACATGGTGCAATCAGGGTAACTGTAGTATAATTATTGTCCATACTTTGTTTTTACAAAGGACACATCAATACCAATACTGGTATCAGGTATCGATCTGATGTCATGCTCATTTACCAAAATTTCAATACCAACTATGACATAAGCCAAGTATACACTGCCACACTAATGAATAAATGCAGTGAAGGAGGCTCTGCTCACATAGCAAAGAGTTACTGACCCCATGACAACTGGTCACAAAGCCATAGATCATTTCAAACATTCTGGCTGGGCAAATTCTCACCAGGAAAACGCTGTGTGACTTTAGTCTGCTTTTAAACACACACAAACACAATCTCAACTGCTTCCCCAATACTGGTGGAGACACATAGGTATGAGATGCAAAAAAGTCAACAATCTCTACCAAAGTTTCTCTATGATAGATTTACTGTTTCACTGAATACAATAGTGAGGAATAAGCATTAATACTGTGATTGTTCTGTAAAATAGGCTGTAGAGAGACCATATTGTCCCACCATGTACATCCATGTGTGGTTTTTAGCTTCAGTGCCCTTTTTTGGTCTGAAAAAACTGGTATTGATGCATCTCCAGTCTGGTATTGATGATCCCCATTCAGAAATAAGTACATGAGATATTCATAGCCTGATAATTCATCCATGGGATACCATTTAAAACAGAAAACATAGCCATTGTCTTTTCTCTATAAGTAGAAGCTACCTGTTTAGTAGCATATAAAGTTAATTGCCACAACAATCCAGCCAATGTATGATAAAGTTAAACTTAAAAAATATCTCACAATATTACTGAAAGAAGCATTCTGAATAGATTAAGAAAAAAAAAGAAATTATCATGTTTCAACAGCATAGTATACTATGTTATACAGTTAAATGTAGAACAGATCTCAGGATATACTGAAAAATACATTTCTGAACAGATTAAAATATCATGTTTCGGTAACACAATATACTTTTTGTGTATTTTCATATGTTAAAGATGGCTTCAGAAAGAGATTTGACAGAATTCTAAAAACTAGTTAAATTAATATTATGATTATTATAATTATTATACATAATACTGTTATTGTAAGGTTACAATTTATTATAGTTGTTATTTTTACAAAAATGAATTCACTGTAAGTTCACCTGAGTATCTCCAGTTTACAGTGTGAGTTCTTCAATCCAGCAGAGAACATCTCCACTCCTGAATCCTTCAGGGCATTGTTGCTGAGGTCCAGATCTTTCAGAGAGGAATTCACTGATTGTAGAGTTGAGCAGAGAGTTTCACTGGAGTCCTTGGTGATATAACAGCCATTTAGTCTGCAAAAAATAATAAACACATTTCAGCAGCAGAAAGAGACTGAGCATGAATCAGAACATACTAGTTTAGCTCTGCAGCCCTGCTAGTGGCTGCTATACAACCCCAAAGCATAAAAGATCCAACCCCATGCTTAATAATTGGCAAGCTTTTTTCAGAGTTCAAATTTATCTCAGCACTGCACTAGATTTCAAAATTCCTCTGGTTTGTATTGCAGTGAAAATTACAAAAAGGAAGTGTTTAGATATCTTTCATAGTCTTTTATTGCTTTTTAAGTGTCACTTATCTTTAGCTTCAGATCTCACAGAGGTTTAATGTTATAAAATGTATAAGTTCAATTTCTGCAGTGCCTTTTACATACCCAGAGCCAATTTACAATTAGAACTTCACATGATCGCAATATGCAAAAATAAACTTTGAGGAAAAAGTATTGAGAATTTATAACACTAAATAACACTAAACGGCCTGCCCCTAAAAGTGGAGCATTTAAAGGCAGGGACCACCAAGAGGCCAGCATCAGAGGACCTCACTGTACAAGCAGGGTTATAGGGGAGAAAAAGACAAGCTATATAATGGGGTGCTTGACCATTCAGGGCCTTGAATGTCAAGAGAAGGGCCTTGAACTGGATGTGTACAAAACTGGTAACCAGTGCAACCGAGAACTGGCTGATGTGAGCAGTTTTTTTTGGAAGAGACAAATAAATGAGCAGCAGTTTTGAATGTATTGAAAGTATTGAAATATTTTTGCTGGATTACCAATAAAAATAATCACAATAATCTAGAGTGATGTTATGAAGTTGAGGATTAGTGTTTCAGCATCTTTAATGCTCAATATAGAGCAGAGGCGGGTGATACCTAGATGAAAAAAAATCACATTTAACAAGTGTTTCTATATGAGGCCCAAAAGAGAAGGTGCAATCAAAAATATACTGAGGTTACAAACAACAGAAGAGGCTGTAACAGAAACCCCATCAAGAGAAATTCCAAAGTCTGGGTGTCATACAACCAGGTATTTAGCTCCAATGAGCAGTAATTCAGATTTATTAGTATTTAGCTTTAAAACATTTGCAGTCATTATCTGCTTAATCCCATGGAGGTATAGTAGTAAGTGAGGAGGTGGGAGAAGTGTGTGAGCTTTTCTACAAAGATCTGAGTATCATCAGCATAGCAGTGAAGGTTGAGGCCATAATGATGGATTATTTGACCAAGGGGCAACACATATGTATGACAAAAAAGGAGAGGGCCTAGCACTGGTCACTGTGGAAAACCTTGCAAGACAGTGTCTATATCAGATCTTTGATGCTGTAAAGCAACACAATGATACCTATGAATAAAAAGTATAAGAATACTTAGGGCACCAGAATCACTCTCTGTATGCAGATCATTGAGAACACGTAACAATGCCGTCTCAGTACAGTGCCAAATACAAAAACCAGAACAAAACATTTTAAAAAGGTTGTTATCAGATAGATACAGTTGCATCTAAGATGTTACCACTTTTTGTATTATTTAGCTACAAAGGATAATATGGAGAAAAGTCATTAATTGTTCAATACAGTTGGGTCAAGTCCAGGCTTTTTAAAACAGGGCAAACAACAGCACAGTTTATAACAGTAGAAATACACCTAGAAACTAAATATGTGTTAATGAGATGACAAATAGTGGTGGAAATGATAGTGACAATAATAGTGACACACTTCCTCAAGAGGGAGGTAAGTGCAGGATCAAGATGGCAGGCAGAAAAAATAGCAATAAGTTTAGAAATGGAATCAGACTAAGCAGGTGAAAAATTGTAAGACAGAAGGGTTAAGAATAGTTTGAACGTGAGCTAGAGAAGAAGAGGCAGTGGAGAACTGCTGACATTTGGCTGATTTTGTCCTTAAAATGGTCCAGGAAAGCATTACACTGCATTACTGACGTGGAAGGTACAACAGAGAGAGGTTCAGAAAGCTTACTGATGGTACAGAAAAGTGTTTTAGACTTGTTTCCAGAACTATTAATGAGAGATGAAAAATACTGAGAGCAGGCACTATTAAGAGTGGCTCTGTACTAATGCATGTGGTCAGAATAGGCTAAAAAGTGGACAGTGAGGACAGTTTCCTTGTGAAATTGCTCTCACCAACCAGAGCCTTTTAATGTAAGACATTCAGGAGTAAACCAAGGGAAGGAATGACCAGAGGGAACCAATCTAGTCTTTAAAGAAGCAGTCTGAATAATCCAAACCCACCACAAACCAGCTGTATGTCTGGAGAATTGAAGTTTTGTTTCTTGAGCGCAGATACCGGACATTTAGCCAGCCAGTAAAACAGTGGACTGGCACTGTTTTATAGGCTGGACTGATGCCAAGATTAGGTCCAGTCTATGCATGACAAGTAACAGGTGTGACAAACATGACCATGTAGGGATAGACAAAAATATGCAGAACAGAAATGTTCTAGGTACAATAACAGCATATGCACACACACAACTGAATATATAACACAGCATTAAACACTTCAAGTCTTATCTAGTATAATAAAACTGTTATAGACATACAGGATTCATCAGGACATGTGAGAAGAGACAAAGATGAGAGGGGAGAAGAAAGAAGAATAGCAGAGAAAGTTTGAGGATCAACAGGCACAATGTTGTGAAAAGTAGTAGAAGACTTTGTGCAAGGCAGAGGAGTAGGGACATTAGCAATAGCTGCAGTTTATGATCAGAGACTGCAGATCCAGTAACAGAGGTAATGAGTATGCCTAAAGAATATGTGGGAAAATCAACATGTGGAGACAAACCAAAACAATTCATCACAGACATGAACTCCTTTGACATGGGACATTTTGAATCAACACGGATATTGAGGTCTCCAAATACAATCATGGCAGGCCATAGAGAAGTGGACCCAGTTCACTTAACTCAGATAAGTACATTTTCGCGGCTAATAAATCAAAAGAAAAAGCACTGGGACTGAAACAGCTCATTTCAAGGCCATAAACTCAAAGGATGACACATCCAGCAAATGTCTGACATCAACAGAAAAAACAGTGTTGTACACAACTGCCAATCCACCTCCTTGACCATGAGGACTAAGTTTATCTTTGTAGCTGTGTCCATCAGCTACTAACATGTTGAGATGGAGATAATCACCAGATTGTCACCAAGTCCGAGTGAGCAAAAGCATGGTTAAGTTTTCTGAATTATAATGTCATTTAGCACACTTGTCTTGTCAGTGAGAGAGTGACAGTTGAGGAGCACAAATTTCATTACTTTTCTTAGGTAAGCACACAGTCAGTGCAAGGCAATGGGTGGAGGAGGCCCAAGTTAATTGCTCTGATTGTGGACGAGACAACTCACTGGGCCCTTCTGACTAACCAGATAACAGGAATCACTCACTCTGTTGAAAGAGGAATGCTGCAGTGACATTTAAATGAGTGGTAAATGTAATGGGGCGACAAGAAATACCAAGTGACTGACATAATGTATACGTAGCAGTGTCCAAATGGTAATAGAAGCAAATGCTAAGCAACTGTCCTGGTATATAATAACTTGCTGTAGACACAGACACCATAAACACGAAAGACCAAACCAACAAAAGAACCACTAGTGCCGCAAGGCAAGTGCTGAACAACCCCAAAGCATAATAGACCCACCCATATACATAACTGTTAGCAAGGTATTCTTTTCATCAAATGCTGCTAAATTTTTATTAAAACATTTAGTGACTGCAGCAAATCGTCAATTTTTATTTCACCAGTACCCAGCTATATACAACGGTGCACTAATGTTTGCAGAAAAATACTATTTTTAAAAATAGATTGCTGCAGGAGCTGTTTACTTCTTTTAACTTCAAAAATCATGTACAAACCTAACTCCAAAAAGGTTTGCAAAAATGCAGATAAAAACTTAAAGGAATAATTTGTAAATTAACTTTGACTTTTAAATATTTCCTATTGAAAATGTCTGATATTTAAATAAAAGTAGTACAGGCTAGAGGCAAGATTTTTTATGTTTCAGTGTATCAACTAAATTGTCTTTCATAAATATAATCTCAGTCTGAAATTGATGCCTGCAACATGTTTCAAAAAAGGTGGGGTCAGGTGCAATTTAAAACCATAATCACTGTTCAGTGTTCTGAAAACAATTTCTAAGAAGAGCTGTAATGATGCGAGGGTATAAAAGGAGCATCCAAGAAATGCCCAGTCCTTTATGAGCAAGGATGGGTCGAGGCTGACTTTTCACAACCAAAAAATGCTTCAGCAAATAGTGCAACTGTTTAAAAACAGGATTTCCCCCTCTGTGGTGCATTGTATTATGAAAAGACAGAACAGACAGTACAGAAAAGATGTCACGCATCCCTCAGGCTCAGAGGTCTCTAGGGACTCCATTTCCCAGAATCCCCAGGGGGATCACATGATTCTCAGCCCTCCATATTGCTCCAATCACCGCTCTTCATCACCTAACTGGTTACACCTGTTCTAAGATAATTCATTTAGTATAAAGCCCAGGCTTTTAGTCTAGTCCAGTGCAAGGTATTGCTTCTTTTTCAAGAGCTACAGAGTGTTTTTTCTTCCGTCTATTGTGATTTTCTGGTTTTTGACTCTGTTTGCTGTTTTGACTTTTGCCCTTTTTGCCTTTGCCCTTTGGACTTTGTTCGCCTCGTTATGTTTGTCTTTTTGTGTTTCTTGTCTTTGCTGGATTTGACCTTTGCCTGTTTTTTGACCCCGATTTTGGATTACGACTCAAACAGTAAAGCCTCACTCTCTTTTTCTAACCGCAAGCGTCTGAGTTATTCTGCCACGTTACAAAAGACAACAACTTGGATTTGTGCAGACAAGATGTGCACATACAGTAATGACATCACTCTACTGCATAACTGTAGTTTTTAAGAAAGTACCTCAGGCTTTAATAAGTTTATGTAAGAAATTATGCATATTCTCTCCTCTCCTCACCGCATATAAAAAAAAATATACACTGATATGCCAAAAGTCATGGGATAGCAGTATGTAAATAGATTATGAAG